TTTTTCATGAAATATTTTATTAAGGGGGAGTTTTGTCAAAAATAATTTTCCAAATATTTTGTTATATCAAAAAGGGGAGATTGTTAATCATGTTTTATAATATTTTGATATAACAAATTAAGGGAAAATGTTTTTGGACTTGATTGAATTTGTTCGAAGTTTTCAAAAATAATTCAAAGTCCATTAAACTAGAATTTGAGCACAAAATAGTTTTTTGGGTACCTAGTACCGATACTGTTCTTACAGTATCGATACTACATAAACAGTACCGATATTATTCATGTGGTACCGATACCAAAGGTAAGTGAAGTATTGATACTCTCTAGGTAGTATAGATACTACCAGTTGTTTTCTAATTGCTCAAATTCCAGAATGCAAAATAGGTACCGATACTCAAAGGGGTACTGATACTACTTTACACAATGGTATCGATACCATGAAGTATAATATCAATATTGGTCAAGCTCAACGGTCTTTAATGGCTAGTTTATTTAAATATTACAAAGGTAGTACCGATACCCATTAAAGGAGTATTGATACTCCATATCCTGGCAGTTTTATTTTGCAGAAAATTAATCCCTAACGGCTCAAAACATCCCCAACGGCAAGAAACGACCACAAACTCATTCCAACATATAAAAACAAGTTGAGGACACTTGAATAAGGTTACACAACACCTATCCAAACAATTGAGATCAAGAGAAAAGCTCTTTCACTCATATTTTTCTTTTTCTCTTGTACATAAGTGTTTTTGATCTCATTGCAAATCTTTCTGTTATTTTCTTGTGAGCTTAATTTTGCAAACACCTACCTTGTAAGAGTTTTCTTGTTTACATCTTTTATCTTTTTGTAAAAGGGGAGTGGTTCTAGTTTAGCCATTGAAAAACTAGGAAGTTGTAAAAGTTATCTCTTTGTCTTGTAAAAAGAAAGAACAAATTAGTGAATTTGTTGGGAAATCCTAAGTGAGGAGCTTAGGTAGTGGATGTAGACTTGGCTGAGAAGTAGAACCACTATAAATCCTTGTGCATCAATTTTCTCATTCTTTAAATCTCCTTAATCCCTAAATTTTTCTCAAATCCACTTCACCCCCTCTTGGAAAATTATATGGTTGTTCAAATTGAGTTTCATTGAAATCCCAACAATAAAATAATTAAGGGAAACAAAGTGATAGAACGAGTTTATTATGTCTTAAAATTGTTATTCAAAGTAACAATTTGAGATGAAATCAATCATGAGAAAATAAAAAAAGAATTTAAACTTCTTAAAACCAAATAAAAAATAAATAGAAATAAAAATACTTTTTTTATTTTGATCAATCGATCAGAATTATTTGAGGTCTGTCACTACATATTTTCCTTAAGATAGATTTTCGGGCACACCTTTGGTGCTCGAATTCGTTGGTCGTCTGTCTCTCAGGATACAACAAATAGATTATCAACTACAGTAGCACAACAGTAGAGATCATGAACTATCATTGCCTTCAACTATCACCGGAAAACTAGTGGAAGAGTGAAAAATTTTCTTCCCTTTTGAACTTGCCAAAACTTGTGAAAACTTGTAACTTGTGAATAACCCAACATGTTAACTTACTATTTATATCTTTTAATATTCAAATGTAAATAGATAATAAAATCTTTTAATTTAAAATATTAAAAAGATAAACTACTTTTATCATTCAAATTTAAACAAATATTATTTTAATTTAAAATATACAAAAGTATATAATTATCTTTAATATTCAAAGTTAAAAAGGTAACCCATACATTTTTAATTGATATATTCAAAGATTAATTATCCTACTAATAGTCAAATTAAAAATTATCTTTTAATTTGTAATAGTAAAAAGAAATATTAATTTAATATAAATATTGAATCTATCAATTAAATTCACTTTTTTCCAACAACCCCTCACATGAATGAAATTGATGATTTTATCAAAAACATTTTGACTTGGTGTGGTGATAGCATCTACGATTAATAGTTGCATAGGATAGGTTGTTGTTCTCCTTTGAACCTTTCCTTGTGAGAGTATATTTACTTTACTGGTTAAATAGTAGACGTGATATCCTTGAACTGTTTTGTCGTTTATGTAAACGATGACATACTTCACACAACTACCCCTCTAACAAGAATTTAGTTCTCATAGGTATGTCCTTAAAGCCATGGAAATCCTCCTAGTTCTGCTAGAGTTTGAAATAACTATGCCCAATAGTCTCCTTAAAGCAGTCCCACTTTAATCTCACATAGGTAACTTATGTTTCTCGCTCATCGCAACAGACAATGGTCAGTAAAATCTTTTGCTTAGCCTATACCACTTTGATCATTGTTTACATCATAGGAACGAACTTGGAATAAGATACTCACATATTGATCGTACATAGTTTATGCAATTAGGTTGTCCCTTTGAACTTAGATCTTAGGATCTCCCCTCACATATTTAAATTTCATGGGCTTTAGTCACATTCCTTTAGATGTTTCCTCAACTTGATCTCAATTTAACCCTTTGGTTAGTGGATCTTATGCTAGTCACATTATATGCATACCCTTAGATAACTCAATTTGAGATCAATTGTCTATGGTATTATGTCGATAATGCATATATCTCGACTTACCATTATACTTGAAATTCTATACTAGTCACAGTATATGCATATCGTGGGCACATGTTTCATCCATTCAAGAATGTCATCCAAGAAATTCCAAAGTTATTCAGCTTATTCTCTAGTCTTATCTAGAACTTCAAAGTCAGATTTCATTATCAATATAGTTATAACAATTTTCTTAAGGATTTCCATAATATGAATTCTCATTCCAATGTGAAACATATTCGCGAGTGTCATTAATATCTTGAATATCAAATTCTAAATAGCATCGATTTATCCTTCTAAGATAGTAGGATAGTCAAAGAAAATGCAATCCATCGTTTAGGATTTATTTTTATTTGTTTTGATAATATGGTCATTACCTTCTTAGGATACCCTCCACATTTTGAATTGTTTCTATGACACATGTTTTCAACCTTTTCATAACTCATATAGTGTCTTGTCATTTTTCTTTCATGGGTACCTTATTTAAAAGGTAATTAGTTAACAAAACAACTTCTCTCTCCCCACATATTCTATGACAACTCAAAACTTCTTAACATTGTGTTAATTATATCTTCTGTTTTGCTACTCCTTTTATTTTGACCATCACTATCACTTCTTACCATCTTAATGTATTTATTAAGTTAGTTTTCAACATCATATGTTATAGAAAACCAAATTTTTCTATAACTTCGCTCTTATAGAAAATACACATAACAATACTTTTGCTATCATCAATGAAGATAATAAAATATTTATTCTCCCTCATTTGTGCCATTATTACAAATTTTAATAACTTGACCACTAAAATTTTCTTAGCGTCACCATCTTCCGTTTCGTGTCTATGGTCTAATGTTATCCATAATTCTTTTATGGATATTATACACCTTATATAGTGTATCTAATAATACATTCAAGATGTATTTCTAATATAGGAAGTCATGATACTTCCAAACTTTGACAATAGTATGTGTGGTAACATGTTTACCTCATATTCTCTAATGATAGGAGGATCATCAAACATGACCAAATAAAACATCTTATGTTTCCATATCTTAAAATTCTATCCATAGAATTTTACAAGTTTCTTATTATGACCTACATTATTTTATTTGGTCATGTTCGATGATTCTCCTATCATTAGAGAGGATAAGGTCAACATTCCAAATCACGAATTAGGTGAATCACTGAGATTACCCATTATTTCGTTCAACACGAAATAATTCCAACAATAAACAAAAATTATATTTTGATTTATTCTATCAACAAAATTTAAAACTAAAATTCTAAAACAAATCAGTATATGGGTTGCTACTTTCCAACGATTTCTATTATTAGAAATCAAATAGTTTTGTTATGCGACATAATTAAAATATCAATTGACTTTAAAATAAGAAATCAAAGATTCTAATAAAAAGAAAATTAATTCTCATTTATTTTCAATTTTGTTATCAAATATAATTAAAATTTTAAAACAAATCAGTAACCAAAGTTACTTCTACGACAATTTCTGTTTGTCCAAATTGATATTTTAGCAAACCCGTTAAAACGACAGGATAAATCTCGAAATAAATTTGATCATTTATCTCGTTTTTTCACTATATCTGAATCATTTTAGATCAAATAAAGGAAGAAAAAAGAGTTCTGAATCTTATCGGATTAAAGGGAAATATTCAAATTTCACCTGCTTCTACTTTCTTGTTATTTATTTAAGATTCTTGAAGAGATACTTCATGTTAGTTTTTATTCCTGAGAGATTCCATACTTTTGGTAGTCTCGCGCTCCCAAAACAATGATAGTAAAGCGAAGCACATCTCACCCAGGGAAGGGTCGTTTCTTTTAAAAATAAATTTTAAATTTTTATTTGTTAGATATTATTTTATATTTTTATTGAAAATATATTTTTATCTCAAAAAAACTATATAAATTTTCTCCTTTAAAAATTTTATAAACTTACCCTTATATAAAATTATATGTTGATTCTTGCACCCCTATACATTTTTTACACGAGAAAGTGTCATGTCTCACATTTATTTTATATAAAGGAGGATGCTTTGTACATCTTATTTGTTATTTCTCATCCTATATGATTTATCTTTTGAGTGTCTCAACGGATCAATTGTGATTGTGGTCCCTGATTGCTCGATTTCATATCGAGTGCTCCCGCGGATGGCGTGGACAAGGGAAAATGTCATAACGTAGAAATGAGAGAGAGTTGGGGTTTAAATTATTTTTAATTTTAAAATTAAAATTTTAATTAATCGTATAATAATGAAGTGTATAATTAACAGAATTCAAACTTTAAAAAATTTCATATTCTTTTTTGGTTACAAAAGATGGAATGTAGAAATTAGTTCTTCGACCGGCTGGAGCTTAAGGAAAATCTTCAAATTAAGGCACGAGGTTATATCTATTATGTCTGCTGGTGCAATTTCAGTGAGGAGTGTACGGGATGCAATTCGGGTAAAGAGACCCCTTGTAATATGGCAGAAAATTATCTGGTTTCCCCTCCATATATCAAAACATAGCTTGATTTCTTGGATGGCTTTACTTGATCGACTCCCTACTAAGGATAGACTTCTTCGTATGGTTATCAATGATTGTCAATGCATGTTTTGTGATGACCCATTGGAAACAAGGGATCACTTGTTCCTTCATTGTCCTATGGCTGATTACTTGTGGAATTCAATCTTCTCTCTTTGTGGTCTTCAATTTAGAACTCGTTCTTGGGAATCTTTTTTGGCATGGGCTTGCTCCTCTTGTAAAGATAAATCTTTGCTTACTTCCATAATGAAGATTGCTCTTAATGCTCTGATTTACATTATTTGGGAAGAAAGGAACAAGAAAATGTTTCTAGGTCGATCCAGAAATGCACAAGAATTGCTTCGAGCCATCAAGGACATTGTTGGATCTCAACTTAGGGGTAGAAATTTAAATAGCATTAATAGTGTAAATACTAATCTTTGTAAGCATTGGGACATTGTTTGATTTTGATTCTTTTTGTATGTTGTTTGTCCTGATGTTTTGAGAACTCTGATTTTTGTAATAGGGTCTGTTCTTGGGTAATAAAATTTTAAATTATCCAAAAAAAAAATGGATACGATGACGTTTCTCAGTTACATTCTTAGGGTTTCTTCTTCTTTCCTATCAGAATCTAATAATTGTCGAATATTAGCAGGCGGTTCTGGGAAATCCCCTTCTCCCTCTTCGTCGCTTATGGCAAGTTTGGCTAGCCAATCAGCGCATCTATTGTTCTCTGTCAAAATATGTTTAATCTCCTTCTCCCCGATTTCTTGCATTATATTTCTACATTCCTCGACGATGGTTCTTTGTTGTGGGTCTTCTAAACCTTCATCCTGGAGGGCCCCAATGGCTTCTCGTGAATCCATCTCCATTATCAGATTCCTCAGCTTCAACGATTTCGCGACGGTAATCCACTCACCCTTTTCGTTCTTTATCATACCTCCGACCCCAGTGGTTCCTGAAGATCTGCTGCAAGCACCGTTTGTATTGAGTGTAAAATGACCCTCTGGGGGTTTTCCCCATCGCACCCATCTGGGTTCCCTAGTATTGTTCTCCTTGTTAAACTTTTTCGCATTCATGATATCCTTAGCTAAGTTGCATCCATATTGAAATACATGGTTTGGGTTCCTTTTTTTTCCCTTGAAAATATTTTCATTTCGTTCTTTCCAGATTCCTCATATCATGCAAGTAAACATGTTACACCAGCTTATCTTCTCTTTCAACTCTCTTTTCGAAACACTATTCTTCTTAATCCAACTTTCGAAATCGATTGTATTCAATGGTGAGACATTGTGCACCTGCTCTGTTATCACCGAGACCTCCTTTGCAATCTTACACTCTTTGATAATGTGTTCTATCGATTCAGTTGCACTCCTTGAAAACATTCTCTGTTGTCATTCGTTTCCTTGCCCTAACTTCATTTGTGTTCAATCTGCTTAGACAACAGAGCCAAATAAAGAATCTAATTTGTTCTGTCATTTCCACCATCCAAATCCAGCTATACGTTTTTTTCATTTGAGTAGTTCATATTTCTGTTGAGTATTTCTTTAATAGCATATCTAACTGAGAATGTACCATCCTTCGCGTATCCCCAAGTTGTTTTGTCTTGGTAGTTCTCTTTGTTACCTTCGAAACTCGTGTTATCATGTATTTGTTGAAGAGTCGCTTCTGGTAATAACTGATTAATATCTTAGAAATTCCAGCCCAAATCCTCTAAAAGATAAAAGGTAATTGTTTCTAGTCAGTTTGTTGGGTCGATCTCCGAGAATTGATCTTTTAGAGGAGCGTCTCCGAACCACCAGCGTGCCAAAAGCTCACTTCTTCCCCTGTACTGATGACAAATTTGAATTTACCAAATAAAAATAATTCATAATTCTCAAATAAATAAATAAATTATAAATAAAGTAATATAGAGAAATAAGATCGATCTACAAAGACTAAGAAAGTTTAATAATGTTGTTCCTCGGATTGAATCAACTGCAAGAAAATAAAAGGGATTTAAAATTAATGAAAATAAATAAATAAATATTGAATAAAAATTAATAATAAAAAAATAAATAAAGTATAATAATTAAATAAAGATAATATAGCCTCAAGTTTTACTTAGCCTCAATTTCGATCGGTCATCGAAATAAAATTTCCCTTCATAATGTATTTCGATTACAGTTAACAAGACATTGTAGCTAACTCTTCACTTCGATTAATCGAAATTTCTAAGTCTATCTCCGAAATCCAATCTTTGTTGGTCTAGTCACGTCTATCGCAGTTAGATCCAAAATAACTTTAAATTATGGAAAAACCCGACTCGAGTTATAGCATCTCACCGAGAATCGAACTCGATCTTGATTCCCCTTAACGGACCACCACTAAGTTTGTTCACAGGAAACCGAATTATGACCAACCGATCGGACTTCCAAACTTCAAGCAAAACAGTCTTCAAATCAACATACACCTTTTGAGTAGAAGATGTAATACGTTTTAAGAGAATGACCGATTGTTACTCCCGATTTCCAGAGAATCAAGAATACGATCTGAAGGTAAGGAATATCAAGATTCAATTCTCATGAATGAAATTTAGTTTCACAAAAACCTTCGGCTAAGTAGAAGTTTAGTCAAGCATGGATTAGATCATGCTTAACATTGTGAAAAGAAAATAATGAAAGAAAATAAAGAAATATAGATAGAGATGAAAGAAAAGTATAACTTCAATAAATAACCAAGAAAAATAAATTCAAATTTAAGTTTCAATTGTTGAACATAAGGGATATTTATAACCCGATAGTTCTAAGCAAATAAAATAATTAATTCCTAAAATAATTTAACTAAAAATCCTAATAAGAGTTATAATAAAATAACTAATTTTAAAATAAAATAATAATTAAATAATAAAAATAAAAATCCTAAATTAAAAGGGTTTATCACAAAAGATAAATATTTAATTCTTATCATTGAATTCTTCTTCATCTTCTTGTCCCAGGTAAATTCCAAAAAATATTCAAGGAAGTTATGTTTATCTTATATAAGATGCTAAATGGAATGTCGAAATCTACTAATTTTTAGATTAATTAATCTAATAAAGTTCTTTTCCAAAATAAAGATAAATCATTGATATTAAAGAGGTAAATAATAATAAATATATGTAATATTAAACTCTTGTCAACTGAGCTTCCATTTACAACCTTTTTTATAATATGACGGGTTTTCAAGATACCTTTCCACACATTCGAATTTCTGCTATTACCTTCATACTCCATGAAAGATTTGTTTCGGAGATATTTCTTTTTGAAAATTTTACACCATAAGGCTTCATGTTTTGTGTGAAGTTTCCATCCGTTGTTAGCCATTAAAGCCAAATTCGCGTCTCTAGCTTTCCCAGTCCAAGACCCCCCAAAGCTTTAGATTTACAAACTGAGTCCCAATTTACCAAGTGATTGTGTGTTCTTTCTGTATTGCCCGCTAAAGGAAGTTTCTGTTTATTCTATCAAGTTGATTTCAGGTGGTTGTCGGAAGCAAAGTAGTTTGCATTGTATGAATAGGAATGGCAGCAGTAACAGATTGAATAAGGGTTCTTCTTCCTGCCATAGACAACTTTCCCTTCCAACATGCTAAATTTTGCATCACTCTTTCCGTAAGTGTCTATAAGTATTCGAGTTCACCTTCTTGTGAATAATAGGCACTCTTAAGTAGATTCCAAGATCTGCTGTCAAAGGAATTTCACTTATAGTAGCCAAATAAGCTAATGTTTCTTCAGCAACATTAGGAGAGATGAACATTTTAGATTTCTTGAGGTTAATATCAAGGCCCGAAGCATTACTGAATCTCCTTAGGCAATCCCGAGGTTTTTCCACTTGAATCGCGTTCGCTTCCATGAATAAGAGAAGGTCATCTGCAAAAAAGAAGTGACTCACTTTAGTTCCTCCTTTAGTAATCCTTAAAGCTTCCCATTGCAATTATCGACTTCCTCTAGAATCATATGCGAGAATCTTTCCATCACTAATATAAAAAGATAGAGAGATGAAAGTTCTCCATATTTTCAACGTGGAATACGGAGGGATTCATTTAATATTTCCTGTGGGTGGTCGAAATCTTGCAAAGGTTTCTTTAGGAAATTCCAGTTCACGTTATCGTAAGCCTTATGTAAGTCGGTTTTCATGATAATGGCTCTCTTCCTTCTTTTCCCGTTCACGATCGAATGAACTGACTCCTGCACAATCAATATATTATCAGTAGAAGACCGGCCAGATAAATTTTTTTATCAAGGACCAATAATTCTTTGGAGGATAGGTCTTAGCCTATTCACCAGAACTTTGGATAAAACTTTATAAGTAGCATTAAACAGGCTTAAGGGCCGATACAGGGAAATTCTGTTCTTGGCATTTTTCGGAATTAGCACCATATTTACTTTAAGAACGTTGTTTTTCACTCTCTGTGTCTCGAAAGCATCATTCACAAATTTATAAAGAGTCTGTTTTACAGTTTTCCATTGTTTTTTTAAAAAAAAAAAATAGATTCTTCATGAAGGAATTTTGTATATCCTTGATTTAATTCTTCCACCTTTTTTCTTCTAAACAGTTGCTTGTAAAAATCTGTCGCATGATTTTCTAAGGTAATATTATCAGTAACCTAAGAATCTCCCACGAACAATCCCAGAATTCTAATGTTCATTTTTCTAATTTTAGTGGTTATATGAAAGAATTTTGTATTTCTCTATCCCTTGCTAACCCAGTCCATTCCTGATTTTTGTAACCAAAAAACTTCTTAACACCTCTTGATACTCCGATAGAAGCTCCTTTTCCAAATCCTGCAGGTGCTTTGAATGAAAGTAATGCTCTGAGTTTTGAATGCCCTTTAGCCGATTTCTAAGTTTTCTCTCTCTTAAAAATATTCTTGAAGGCTTTCTTTCCAAATTTTTATAGCTTTGCTCGTTTCCTCAACAGCCTCGGTAAGGGACTCACTTTTCTTTTTCCACGCAGAACTAAAGGTTACGTTAAAATCCTATTGATTTAACCACATAGCTTCAAACCTGAAGGTCTCATCTTTCTGTCGATACCATAATCCTCCTTAATCTTCCAGAGAATTGGTTGATGGTCCGAATATCACCTTTGAAGCGTGGTGGGTCGAATGCAAAGTAACAGATTAATAGTCTCTGCATTATGAAAAAGTCTGTCAAGTCTTTCCCGAAGAGTGATAATGCCATTTCTGTTCCTCACCCGAGTGAATTTATTCCCGATCCATCTATTTCTGAATTTCAAAATCTCGTCGATTCGGTTGGAATTGCTTCCATCTCTCTCATCTAACAAGGCAATATCGTAAAAATCACCCATAATAATTCAAGTCATGTTAATTTGATCCGAATAAAGGCTTAAATCATTCTAAAATTCCTTTTTCCTCTTATGGGGTTGCACATAGGTGAAGCTCGTCAGTCGGTTCTTTTTGTTCTCTTTCATTTCAGTGTATGATTTGATCAGTGTTGTGATTGATGTTGATCTCAATATCATTAGAGCTCCAAAGAAGAATAAGCTCCCCTTTGAAACCTTCAGCAGTGACCTCAAAGATGTTGTCAAACTCAAACTTTCTCTAAAATTTAGAACCACTATCCGAATCAACTTTCATTTCCAATAACACTAGGGTTCTCTTCCTTGATCAAGTCTAGGCAATTTCTCATAAAGACAGGGTTACGAATCCCTCTACAGTTCCATGAAATCACTTTCATTATAAATTATTTTGTTGTATGTCTTCTCCTGACAAGGTAGGGTCTGTCATATCTGAAAGACCAACACATTGATCCATGTTTATCTGATTTGTCATACTTTGATCGACTTGTTTTACTGACTGCACCTGATGTTCATGCATCTGAGACTCGCATCCATCAATATTCATTTTCTTAAAAATAGTTATTTCTTTTGAAAACCCCTCTTGTAGTAAAATTGATGCTTTCAGTTTATTTCAGTTAGGGGCTTTTATCTTCGTGATCTTATCATTGGTCTCCATAATTTCTTGAACCTTCTCTTGTTGAGTATGTCATGTTTCCTCATTCAACTCCGTAGTATCTGATCCCCTTTGATTCTTAGCTTTCCCT